TGAACAATGCAGGATTGGGGCGCCAGAGCCCCGCACATTTAAAACTCTACATATAACTTTTGACTCCACTAAAACTTCGCTACTGATAGCCTGCTGTTGACTAGAAGCCCTCATGTTAACATACAACATCGATTAACACAAGTGTTGTATGTTGTGTATACTATATATCATGTTCTTACTTGAAAATAAGCCAGAGAGAAGAAAATATTATTAAGAAAATTGTTAAGTGGGGAGCCTGGGTGGCTAAGTCTGTTAAGCGTCCAACTCCTGGTTTCGGCTCAGGTCATGATCTCACGTTTTCATGAGTTCGAGTCCCACGTTGGGCTCTGTGCTGGCAGCACGGAGCCTGCTTGGGATTCTCTCTCTCTCTCCCTCCCTCTCTCTCTGCTCCTTCCCCCTCGCTCTGTCTCCGTCTCTCTCAAATAAATAACTAAACTTCAAAAAAATAAATTAAAAAATAAAGTAGACATAACTTAACCTAAACTAAGGAAACTGAGTCACAGAGGAACCATGGCTTTCTCTGGGCCTTGGAGCCAACGTGGCTCTGTCCACTACCCCATGAGCACAGAACACAGGGAGTCATGAGCCGGCGTGGGAAGCTCATGCTGAAATAAATCAGCACAAACCCTCCAACCCCAGAGCAATCCCTTTCAAGTGACTTTCCCATATTTGGACCCATGAGCCAAGGACAAAGTGAATCTGAAACTCAGTGAGAGAAACTCTTGGAGTCTTTAGCCTCAGAACTTCTGACATGTGAAAAGAGACAAATGTGGGTGCTTTGCTTCTGCACATGGGGTCCCACCTTCCCCGGCACCCAGCAAAGACCATGTGCAAGCAGAGAAGGGGCCCCGTGCAACCAAGGAAAAGATAATCATTGGCACCAAAGGATCCTGATGCTCACAAAACAGATGAGCTCTGGTCACGTGAGACTCGTGTGTGTGTGTGTGTGTGTGTGTCTTACTTGCACTTGAAGGCTGCTGGATTCAAACAAGATGAAACATCTGAGAAACGTGTCGTTTTATTAGAAGCACAACTTGAGGAAGACGTGAATGTGAAAACAAGCGACCCTATGAAGTCAGAGGTGTTCGGTGAGGAAATACATTCAGGGTCTTGTGACATTCTGCCAGGGAAGCTGGTGGAAACCACAACAAGGAAGTGGCCACGTGCCCTCGGTGGGGTCCCAAAGAGGATATATAAGCCCCTCCCCCTGCAGAAGGCGGCACCAGACCTCCCTCACCTGCTGAGTCTCCCTCCTCCTCTCTCCTGAGTCCTCTCTGCCGACAC